AAGTTATAACTGCATCGAAATATATGGCTGACGCAACTTTGAACTCTGTCAAATTCGCATCTCGGGCCATGTCTTCGGTGGTGGCTGCACGCAGATTACTCTGGCTCAGGTACTGGCAAGCCGATACTAAGAAGAAATGGAAGCTAGCATCTGCACCATACAAAGGGGGAAAGCTATTTGGGGCATCCTTAGATCCTGTTCTCATCGAATCTAGGGACAAACGTAAGATATTGTCATCAGTCTTAAAGAAAACAGACAATAAATTCTCTCCCTATTACAGACGCTCTTTTTGTGCACCCTTCTACAGGTCTACCAGTCAAAGAAGTCAAGTAAATTTTGGCCAGAGGCAACCTTTTCAACAGGGCACAAGCAGCAACTACAAGGCAAGATCTCAACAACAGTCCAAATGACCTTTCCGTGGCTCATCAAACAGACCGTTTAAAAAATTCAAATAGTCACTTGGATATTCCTGTTGGTGGTAGATTGCAAAGTTTTGCACACCAATGGGAGAAAACAACCTTGGATCTTTGGATCAGGCAGACAACAGGGAGGGTCTGGCACTTGAATTTCAAGCCAGACCCCCAAGATTTTTTATTAAGGTGTCCAGTATCTGCAAACATACACAAAAGGAGAGAAATGGAGGAGTCAATTCAGCACCTATTGACAATACAAACTATTGAAGCAGTCCTAGATCAACAACAGTGCCAGGGCTTCTATTCTATGTTATTTCTTGTTCCAAAATCATCAGGGGGATAGAGGGCTATTTTAAATCTAAAAAGACTAAACTCTTTTGTTATTTATCGCAGGTTCAAGATGCACACGCTTCAATCTATCTTGAAGGGCATGAGACATGGGGACTATTTAGTTTCAATTGACCTTACCAAAGCGTATTTGCACATTCCAATTTCACCTGACCACCGCAAGTATTTAAGATTTTCTTATGCAGGTCAGCATTTTCAGTATAGAGCACTCCCCTTTGGGTTGGCGTCAGCACCCAGAGCATTTACTAAAATCCTAGCAGCTCTACTAGCCCATCTTTGAACTGTTCCAATTAGGATTCTGGCCTACTTGGACCATATTTTAATACAATCAGTCTCCCACAAGTTAGCAATTAGAGACCTAACCATCACCTTACAAACATTACAATCCCATGGGTTTTTGGTTAATCAAGAAAAGAGTCATTTTGAACAGTCTACCAGAATCCTACATTTAGGGGCAATAATAGATACTGAATCAGAATTAGTTTTTCTCTCTGAACAAAGAAGAGAATTAGCATTAAAAATTAGCAGCCCATTTTTATTGTATAAAAAGAGCATCCCCAGCCCAAATGTCAAAATTGTTAGGTAAAATGACATCCTGCATTGATATAGTGCTTTGGGCATGACTGCATTCTCGGGAATTGCAGTGGTTCTTATTACCCTTTCAGAGATCCATGAAGGGCACCTCTCCCATCCAAGTGAGATTGCCAACCAAGGTGTTAATATCCTTGCTTTGGTGGACTTCTTCAGCATTAGATAAAGGATGCTGCTTTAAAGACAGGGAGTTTACAACAATAACTACCGATGCTAGTCTCTCAGGATGAGGGGCCCATTGTCAATAACAGGTAGCACAGGGCATTGGGAATACTGGGGACCTTCAGCATAATATTAATTGGTTAGAATTATGAGCAGTCCATCTAGCTCTCAAGGAATTTGAGGTGATGGTCAGAGGACAAGACGTGTTAATCTTAACAGACAATGTGGCCACTAAGGCACACATTAATTGTCAGGGAGGAACACAGTCAAAGTAATTACAAAAAGAAGCTTCTTGTCTCTGTACTTGGGCAGAAAAAAAAACTTGATTTCAACCAAAGCTGAACACATTTCAGGAACACAAAATGTCAGGGCAGATTGGCTAAGTAGATCTACAATAGATCAGGGAGAGTGGAAGTTGCATCCACTTCTTTTTTCAAGAAATTTCCAGCAGATTTGGTCACCCAGTATTGGACCTGTTTGCATCTGAGTCGAATCTTCAACTGCCTCGTTTCTTCTCCAGGTTTCTGTCCCAGGGAGCAGAGGGGGTCAATGTCCTTCATTGTCCGTGGTCAAAGGGACTCCTTTATGCCTTCCCTCCATTCCCTCTCATCTCAGCAGTTGTCAGGAAGACCTTACAGCAGAAAGTGGAGATTCTCCTTGTAGCACCGTATTGGCCCAGGAGGCCATGGTTTGCAGACTTGGTCAGTCTGTCAGGGTCATGTCCGGGGAGGATTCCTCCCGAAAGGGTGTCTCTCAGCCAGGGGCCAATTCAACACCCAGAGTCTCAGTGGCTTCAATTGGGGGCTGTCTAGCACTTGAAAGGGGACTGTTAGAAAAGGTGGATCTTTCCACACAGGTTATTAACACGATACAAGCAGATAGAAAACAATCCACTATTAGGATATTGAAGCTACCTGGAGAGTTTTTTGTAATTGGTTCAAGGATAAGGGCTCAGATCCTGGAGAGGCTTCCATCTCACAGGTTTTGAAATTTTTACAACAAGGATTGGACAAGGGTTTTGTCCCAGCAACTCTCTGTAGACAGGTTGCAGTGCTCTCATTGGTAATTTCATGTACAAGTTCGGATGTCACAAGATCCTTTAATTCGGCATGTCCTTAAAGGGGCAATAAATTTGAGACCAGGGGTCATTCATAGATTTCCATCATGGGACCTTTTCAGGGTACTGCAAGCCTGAAAACACTTTCACCTTTTGAGCCTTTGAGAATTGTCAGTCTACAACACTTATCGTATAAAGTTATTTTTCTAGTGGCAATTACGTCTGCCAGAAGGATATCTGAGCTTGCAGCTCTGTCAATAAGGCCTGAACTCTGTATTTTTCATTCCAATCGAGTTGTTTTAAGATTGGATCCTACCTTTATACCAAAAGTCAATTCTCATTTCCATAGGGTGCAAGAAATCGTTCTTCTAAATTTTTGTCCAAATCCATCTCACTATAGAGAGAAACTTTGGCATACCTTAGATGTAAGGAGAGCTCTCCATATCTACACAAAAAGGACAGCTTCCTTTACAAAGACGGAAGCACTGTTTATTTCTTATCATCAGAAATGCTTGGGACAAAGGGTGTCGTCTTGTTCCATAGGCAGATGGATTAGAGCAACCATTGCTAACATTTACAAAGCACATGGGTTACCTATCCTATCTCGCATCACGGCTCATTCAACATGTAGTGCAACCACTACAGCAGCTTGGAGTACTCAGGCTTTAGTGGAAGAAATATGTAAGGCGGCGACTTGGTCTACTCCCTCACCGGTTGTTAGACATTATAAACTGGATTCTTTCACTTCCACGGAAGCAGCGTTTGGAAGGAGAGTACTTCAAAAGGTATTGGCAGAAGATCAGACTCATTAGGGTTAGAATCCCTCCCAACGGACATTGCTTTGGTATGTCCCATGCATGGATCCTGTCGAAACCTTTCTGGAGGAGGAGCGTTGGTAGACTTACCTGTGAATGTGCCTTCTCAGATGGTGAAGACAGGATCCAGACCCACCCATTTGTTAGATTATGGCAATCATGTTGTGTATTGGACTGAAATGTAAGTTATTACTAATCATGAAAGTTATACAAAGTTTGGACTCTTGCAGCGTATACAGGAAAGCCTCGACTTCATTCAGAACTGGAGACAGTGGCCCAGTGCAGGGGGGGTCTTCAGTTTTTCTATTCAGTCTACAGCCAAACAGCTGAATACATCCCATTCATGGATCCTGTCTTCACCATCTGAGAAGGTGCGTTCACAAGTAAGTCTACCAATGCTCCTTTCTTCCACTGACTGCAATGTAGGTAACTATACTGTCTAAAATAAGGTTGGGTTGAACTGATTAAGTTAATGTGCTTTGTAATCATGTTGCCAAACATTTCTCTTAGACCTGCTCCTTTTTAAGTAGCATTTATTTGCAACTTATACACTAGCCTTTGGCCCTGTGTAGAAAGAAAATAAAGGGAGGATAATGGAAGTTCTCTTCTCTCCACTTGTTTTGGCAACGTGAAGGCTGGGATCCAGTACAACTACTGGATTCATAATTATGCAAGAAAGAAAACCTCAGCTTCTGTTTCTTGAAGACATTTATACTCTTCAAGCCTCTGGAAATTTTAAAACTTTCAAATAAATTTCAGTTAGTTTCCTTGCTAGAAACAGTGGAATTTGGTGAATGTTTATTACTGTTCAGGTCTGTCCAGAAACAAAATTCTGGATCAGCATGTGATATCAAATTTTAATTCTATTTCTCTTCTCAAGTAAGTGTTTGTGTTTCCTATATTTATGCTTTCAATTATTGACTATGGAGTTGTATTTCATGGTAAAAATCTATTAAGTAAACCAGATATGTGCATCGAAACCACACAAGCTTTGCATGCTAGCCTTTTTAGGTTAAACTCAGCATTTATTCATCTGTGTCATAGACAAAAATGATCACCAGATTAAAGAATACAATGCAAGCATTACCAGAGCCACAAAGAATTCCAGGGAAATGGAAAATGTTTCCATTTAGTCACCAAATGGTTAATGTAAAAAGCTTGTGCTGTAACTTAATTTATTTATAAACCCTTTGGAAGTCTCAAGCTGACAGGAAGACAGAATGCTTATTGGGGCCTTATGGATACAAGTGGGCTGCATCTTCCTGGCACCTGAATAACTTGACAATACAGGACACAACAGACATAATGGTGAATGTTACACTACATAACTGCCAATGCAGCATATACCCTCTTCCTTCTTTCCTTCCTTTCCCCTACTCCCAGTTATGTCTGCTTTACAGCTTTGATTCCCTGATCCAACTGACTACTAAGTAAGTACACTAAATACACATAATAGCCCATTATTCAAGACACCTAACTTGGAATTTACATAGACAATCATATTGAATCATTCCTTTATGGATATGTGTACAAGGGCTGAAGTAACAGTACTGCATTTTTTTAAGTTGAAACTTCTGAAACGTATATTGCTGAAGCTTTGGCTGTATTACTCACTTCACTCCTTGAAGCAACAGCTCGGTGGAGAGGAGTCAGCCACATGTTGTCCTTGGCATTGACCCGGGCTCCTGCAAATCAAATGGACATCTCTTAAATACCACCTCACCCAAAAGTGAGGTTTGGTAAACAGAACAGCATGCAATATGAAATGTGTTCCAGACCATACTCCCCCGTTTTTTTGATAACAAAGGCAAAGTAAGCTTGCTGACTCCCAAAATAATTCTGGAGAGTTGACCAGGAAAGAGAATCAAAAAGGATTGACTTTCTTAAATGAATACCTCCTAGAGAGAAAGAAAACTAGCAGCAGGAAAGACCTAGTGAGGCCAGGGATGGAAATATAAAAAGAACACTATTTTGAAAATGATCAAAGGTGTTCAAAATGTAATCGGAGCTATTAATTTGTTTGTTTGTTTTTATTGCCTTTATTATTTTTATAAATAACTCAAGGTGGCAATCATATTTAATATTCTTTCCTTCTCCTTTTATTTTCCCCACAAAAACAACAATATGAGGTGTGTTGGGTTGAGTGACTGGCCCTAAGGCAGAACTAGAACTCACTGTCTCATGGTTTCTAATCTGATGCTTTAACCAGTTACTAAAAAATCATGAAAGGCTTCTGCAGGTAAACATCAACAGTTTGATTGTAACACTGTCAAAGACCAGGCAGTTCTATCATTTGCATTGTTGATACTGATGCTGCTGATACATATCCTATTCTGTAGCTATCCATACTTATACAAAAATTAAGTTCATGTGTCCTGACCAATTGCCCTTCAAATCTATACCTGGAGCAAATGAGAAAGTGGAGAAGAAGGGGAAGGTCCAGAATTCATAGCTTCATTGAGACAGCATTTTATTGCTTTATTGGATTCCCTTCTAAAACCTAAAATTAGCTGGACACTCATTTGTTCATTCATTCATTCAATCAATTTCTATATTTGCCCATCTCAGCTAAGTGACTCTACCCTATTCTATTAGTAGAATCCTCATTTTACTATTTTTTAAACAAAAGACAGTCTTTATCAATACTACTTTTTTTTTAATTCCATCCCAAATCCCTTTCATTCTGTGAATATACTATTTTCTATTGCTAGTGTCCTATTGTTGTTTAATATTTAAACAGAAGATGGAAGAAATCTTTTTGTCATCAATAGGCCCAATACTTTAATATGTAGTTTGGATAGAATTTTTTTAAAGAAAAATTAAAAAAAGAAGTGAATTCACATTTTTACTGATTGCTTGGCTGCAATCTCTGAAAAAATAAGGTGTAAATTTTCCTGGGAAATGAAACACATTTCTAAACACACCACAGAAGTACAGTAGGTGCCTTGTCAATCAGATCTAGTTTCCACATCCTCTGCCTTTGCAAATTTGCAAGGTGCTGTTTATCTAACATAGAGAGGTTATCTGCACATCCAATTTCATTTATGTATTTAAATGTATTTTAAAAGCAACTATTCAGGATGTCTGATTAAGAATGGAACCTTTCCCACTGCTGCAAAAGAGCCATTCAAATGAGTTACCTTTTACTTTAAAATAATATGACCCTGATATTATACTGCCTTGCTGGCTCAAAGATTATGGCTCTATTACATAAAATTCTTGTAGACCACTATTAGGCAACATATTTTAGGTTACAACTTCCATAAGTCTCAACCAGTAACTCTCAGAGCTCTGCTTCTGCACCTCACACTCAGAGATAAGACAGTGTTGGTTGATAGAAGAGCATTAATCCATAAACCAAATTCTCCTTCCTGATCATCTGGCTGATATTCTGTATTTGATAGCACAGTATTGAATTGGGGAGTAGAGACCATGCTAATCAGACCACTTGTAACTCTTGGGAACCTCAGGGTAGAACTGTCACTGGGCAGCTCACCCTTTAACAAATCTAACACAGTTCTAACCAATATTAAGCGTCCTGCAGAGGTGCTCAGACATTCATTTTAGCAGCTTGAAAAGCCAAGCTTCCCTTTGAAGTTTGCTGTGCTGCTGAACACCGCCTTTGGCCCACAGCTAGCAAGAATCAAACAACCTAATCTGCTCTGAATTGTGTAGCTAATAATCATATCATAACATGGTTCTTTATCAAATTTAAAGCTTTGCTGACGGGGTGATTTCAACAGAGGAACAACAACATGGAGGGGAGATTTATACCACTATGAGACCATGGCCCTTGATGGTATAAACATTTAATCAGATACATAAATAAATTAACATTGGGGTGGGGGTGGGGGAAGTGTCCTTCGTGCCAAAACTAATTTTATGTAACAAGAGCTATTTTTGTCATGGTGGCAGAAAGGGGAGAAGGGTATCCCTTCTCTCTTTGCAGCATGCTCCTGATAGATATCTGTCTCGCCCAAATGGTTTTCAATTTTTAAAATTTCAGAAATGGCTGCTAGCCATAGAGAACAAGCAACTTTTTGTGGAGGCCCCTTGATGCTAAACAATTCAGGTATTGAACCGGAAATCCCTGATGTGAAAACACGGGTTCTGTGAATCAGTTGTGTATAAATTCAAGCAGGATTTCCAAAATCCTTTTATCCCCCGCCTCACAATCTCAGTCTGACAGCTTCAACCTACATACACAGTCACGCTGGCTCCAGTTTCATCGTGCTGTTTTGAAACATCTGGCTGCTGGTCTTCTGCATTAACTCTGAATAATCTCTGTTTAATGGTAACCCAGAGGCCCATTCCTGATATGTCTCAATGCAAAGGACGTATGCTTTATTCATTACATGCTATGTTTATTTGTACTGCTGGTGCACTAGTTCATGTGCCACAAGACTAACTATCAACATATTTCACCAAATTTCTCTCCTGAGCCTTGAGGGAAATTCAATGGGCCAATTCTTTTTGCAGGGTCGATCTAGCCTCCACAGCAAGGGGAGGTTATAAATCCTTCTTGCGTTACTTTACATATAAAAAATGAACAGAAAAGTTTTGAGGAGTTTTGTTGTCTGCTGTTTATGCTGATCAGTATTCAACCAATCCATGCTTTATGAAGCATCATCCAAAATGCAGACCTATTTTTAACAAACGAAACTGCATTACTTTGATAGAAAGAGGCACTACAGCAAAGTAATTTATGAGTCATAACCTTGTATTACTCAAAAGGAGTACAAGCAATGATGTCCTTGATAAATAGTGGCACTTCACAGTTTTTTAAGTAGAAAGCACACACAAACACAAAAAGGTAGCATTGACCAAACCTTAAAAACATGACTGGGTTGTCCTCAAAAAGGAAAGGTGTATTTATTTATTGATATGCAGTTACTTTATTTATCTCATTTGTATGCCACCCATTTCCTCTGAGGATAACTTCTACTTTAGAAGGAAGAGCTCTCTAAAATAGGTTTTTGAATATTGTATCCCAATGTTTTCATCAATGTCTCCACCAATACTGAAGCACAAAACAAAGCTTGACATCCAGAAAACATATTTCAAGTATCCCAATGGGTTCATATTCATTATCTCCATAATTCTTACACACGATCTTGGGAGGAAGGTCAGTTTTATCAATTCAGTAAAGAAGCATCAGGGAGGATAAAAGAAAAAACTGGAACATGGATTCTTCCACAGATGGCCCTTGACTTATGACCATAAGAGCTATGGTGCTAGAATGCTATATTGCCGGCTAATTCTGCAGACTGCCAGGGCTTCAATCCTCACCGTCTCAAGGTTGACTTAGCCTTCCATCCTTCTGAGGTGGGTAAAATGAGCACGCAGATTGTTGGGGGCAATATGTTGATTCTGTAAACCACTTAGAGAGGACTGTAAAGCACTGCGAAGCAGTATATAAGTCTATTGCTATATACAGTATTTAACAGTGGTTTGAAGTTATGATGGTCTGGAAAAAAACAACTTAAGTCCTACCCTCAAAACTGTTACTTATAGTCGTGTTTTGTGACTTTCCCAGCCAGTTTCCAACAAGCAAAGTCAATAGGGGAAGCGAGATTTGCTTAACAACAGCATGATTCACTTAACAAACATATGATTTGCTTAATAATTGGATGGTTCACTTAACAATCACAATCAAAATGTCGTAAAATCTGGTCTGGCCATGTGGTTAACATTCACATCACTTAGCAATCAAAATTCCAGTTCCAATTGTGGTTGTTAAGTCAAAGACTGACCGTAATAATGATGAAGCACTAAGTTAGAAGCAATTTCCTGCAGATATTTTTCCTCCATATTCTTATTCTCCTTTTCCAATTGGGTTGATTTCCGGGGAAAAAGAGGAAGTGTAGGAAGGGAAGGCTGCTTTATGCTGAGTTCCAACTATCACTTCATTTAGCCTTGCTTTTTCTACTTGAGGTGGTAGCTATGCACATGGCACAGAAGCAGAAAGTCAATGGGACCATCTATCTTCAATTATTTTTGCCTGAACCACAAGAACTGATAAAATGGGCATGCTCCAGGTCTCTTTTTATTAAACACTGTGATCTGATGGGATCCAGGAAATGTGCCTGTTATGCATCTCTCATATGAGACACCATTACTCCCAAGATCTGGATGGCCTTACTCCTGTTTGCCTTCTTTAAGGCCTTAAGGACCTGGCTGCTCCACCAAGCCTTAAATTAAGATTTTAACTAAGCCTGACTTCTATTATTTTTATGTTGGGAAGTTTTTGAGTTAGACCTCAATGTTTTTTTACTTGGTTGATTTTTTTTAGTACTAATGTTTTAAACTATTGTAAGCCTAGACTCATATATTTAGATATATATCTTTCACATAAATCAAATCAATGCACAGTTTGGGATATTTCTGATCTACCACTATAAAACCTTCATTGTAGTCCAGTTGGGAAACCAGAACCCCAAGTCTTATACTACTTTTATTGGAAGATTACAGTAACAAAATCTTGAAAATCTGAAAGCACCTCTTCCCTATGTTACTTCTACTCTTCCCCAAACTAGGGAAGGTCCCTTCTGAGATACTTTCTCCACCCACATTTATTCTGTAGATTGAGATAACACTAGTCAGACAGTTGCCCTGGCTGCAACTCTTCCTTCTGTTTCTCTTAAGGTACTGTCACAACTTATTTAATTCACTCCCAAGCATCTTTTCAATAGTTAATATTAAGGGATGAACATGCAACCAGTGAACTATGGCCCCTCTTCAAAGTAACTTGAATAACTAGACAATGATGGGGGTCCAGTCAGGGGAAAACATTCAACTTTGTCTCATTTTATGCTTCACTAATCAGACTCATTAGACCTGAGTTTTGTACTTTTCTGATAGAAATCCTCAGTTTAAGAAATAGCCTAGACTGTGATATAACCTTCACAGGAGTGACAATAAGTATGTTTTTGTAACTTCTGCAAAGAAGATCAGAAGTCACTTCTTTAAATATTTTTCTTTTTCTTCTCTTATCTACTGTGCTTTTTCTTTATCTTTTCTTCTTAGCATCAGTGGTGGGCTGCTGCCTGGTTGCCCAGGTTCAGGAGAACCTGTTGAGGTATTCCCCGTTAGGAGAATGATTGCACTCAGGGAAACATAATAAGAGTGGTGATGAATAACACACAACCAGCACACAGATACACTGAATAGTAAAATGTAAGTTTTACTTCCAGTAAACGGGTAAACAAAGTCCAACAAACGGTCCAAATCATACACGGTTAAAGCAGTTAGTATTCAAAATAATCAGTCCAGGGATAATCCAAAAACGAAGTTCTTTTCTTTACCAGTATCATAAACAAAGTTTAGTAAACGGAGTTTGCTAACAGTTGCAAGACTCACAGCAATTCAAGCAGAATGACGACCAGGCAAAAGGGAAATGCAGAGAACAAACCAGGTTTCTGGCTCCATCTTATGGCCGTTGAAGGAACCTCAGCCAATCACAATTACAGCATTATATTAAAGATACAACAGTATTAAATGACTATCCTGGTTTATATATTGCCAACCCAACTGTTAGGTGACTATCATTCCTAACAGAACCCTTTAGTTATGAGCACTGTCTGGGCCCACCCACCCACCCGCTGCTGCACTAGGCTTTCCATATATAACTAACTTTCTGGCTTATTCCCCCCATGCATGCTGCCCAGCTGAATTCCGTGCTGCCCCTGCTGTACTCACCGGAGCTGCCTGAGTTGATTAGCTGCATGTTTGAAGCTCCGTTTCACTCTCAAAGGGGTGCGTGCGAGCAAAGCGATTACGCGTGTGTTTGCATGTTCACAACCTGCAAACCGGGTGGTAACGTAAGTGCAGCCCACCTCTGCTTAGCATTAACTAATAAAAGTTTTTCTTTCTTAATTTTGTATTCTATATTTTTCCTAAGTTTATCTTTTATCAGAAATAATGTAATACTATATTGATTAGCCATTAAGCCATCTCAGAATACAAAACATAAAACACACAGTAATAAAATCCTATATTAACAATGGAATACAAGCAATAAGAAAATGCAAATCATATTTCCGTGTCACAATTTACCCCAATCAAATCCACATATATAGTTCTCAACTGTATTGTTTTGGACAAATAAATGGCCATGTTATATGTAATTTTTGCATTCTGATTGCATATGAAATATGTTGTTTTTCTATAAGGATCCCAATAGGTCATTTGTCTAATGTGCAGTCCAGATAACAGATATCTCTTTCTTTTACAATTGATATTCAAATATTGTAATATATGTCTTATGTCTTCTATCCCTGGGGCTCTGGCTAATACAAATACATTCATTGTAAGTGCTGCTTAATAGCTAATCAATAAAGTATTATTAAGTAGATGTGTGAGTTTTCACATTCAGAATTAGCTTTTGGTTTTCTGTTTTGAGTATCTGCTCTTATTTGAAGAAGAATAACTCTTGGCCACATATCAATTATTCATAATGGGAAAAATAATTTTAACAAAAAAAATGGTGCTTTCCCAATTATATAGATTTTCTATTCCATTACTTAATTTTCTTTATTTGCTTTCCCCTGTTGTTTTATCTCCTTTGAATAACATTAAGCAGCTAGCCTCATTAGTGAAAAAGTAATGATCATACAGTTTTATAAAACTGATAGAATGTTATTTAAATTTTTAATACAACTGTTTTAATTGTAGAATAAAAAATCTTTTATTTATTCAAACATTTTAAAAAATACAGGGCGCTGAACAGGCCACAAGTCCTGTTTCACTCTAAAATACTCAAAAGCATTTTTGTTCTCTTAAAAACATATGACTTGAGTTTTGATAGCTAATAAAAATGTTTAACAAATCTGGAGGAACTATAATTAATCTGATATTGCACAAACTACCTGTCTGTACAATTAGCTTTGGTACAAATGTGTTCAAATTTGGGATCTGCAAGATATAACTGCATCTAAATGTTAAAATTCCAGCCAAGATTTCTCATGTGATACCATGCTGTATAGTAGTAAGAAGTAGAAAGATGCTACATCTACATAAAGCAAGGATGAGCAACTTGTGTCTTGCCTTCTCAGATGTCTTTATGGGTCATGGTTAATCTCAGCAACGTCTGATTTTGCCAATTTGGAAGATTGTGAGGAGCAAAATGGGGTTTTCTTCATCCCTTAACCTTCCAATCAACTCTTAACCTTCCAAATTGACATAACCTTCCACATGACATTATCAGCAATACACCTCCAGCCTCCAGGATCAAATATATACATTTTAAAATTATACACCTCTCTACTGTAAGAAAGTTGCTTACTTTGTATAATGCATTCCCAATGACTCTGAGAGGCTCACAAATAACTAACATTTAAAGGAATAAAACAAAGTAATAATAAACAAAAACAAGGAATAAAAGGCAGCAGATTAGAGCAAAATTAAACCCGCACAATCTAATAGAGGTTCTGGAAAAGCATGAGCAAAGAGCCAAGTTTTGAAGGATGGGGACCATCCAGTTTTCAGGGGAACTTGGTTCCAGACGGCAGGTCCTGTGTCAGATGAAATGGTTTAAACAAAAATTTCCAGAGCATGCCAAATCTGCCAAATAAAATCAGCCGGGCAGATACTGTTGAAGACAAAGTAACCAGGCCCATGTAAGGAGGCTTTATAACCAGCACCTTAAATCACACCAGGTTGGAAACAAATCTTCTATCAACAGAACTTGTGGAGCAGAAGTGTTACATTGGCATACCAAGGAATGCCAATGATGTTGCATTTGGACCAGATGAAGCTTTTGAGTGATCTTCAAGGGAAGCCCCATGTGGTACTTGTTTCCCCTGAATTTTACAAAATTCCCTTTAAACTATAATTTTAAGAAAATGCTCCAGAAAAAAAGCTGTTTGGTGCACTCCTTTGAATGTCTCTCTTCTCAATTTCCCTATCACTGCCACCACCACCACTTCCAGTCTTCATTCCTGGAGCACTACAGTTACCTCTAGCCCTTTCAGGGCAGCTATCCAAATTAAAATGTCCATTTAGATCTAATACTTTCAAGAAACATTTTCTTGCATTGTTAAAAACCTTCTGTTTCCTATTTCTGACTTGTTTTGATTGCAAGCCTGTTTTGATTACAAACCAGAAGCACTCAGACTTGTATATTGGAAACAAATGGTTGTCTTATTTTTATGTGATAATGGAATATTCCTTATCTTTTAGACATAGGTAGTGTATGAAATTCTGGACTTCTAGAAAGGATTTAGAATTAGTGATAATTGGACGGAGATAGTCATTTATTAAGAGTTAAATACCATCAGAAATATTTGGCTGGCACATATTAGTAGAATAGGGCAAGAAATAATTGTCTCAAAGCCTAGTCTTATACCAGTTGATTGCAATCTTGTGCCCACTAGATGTGCTGGCAACAACTTCATAAACCCCATCTAGGGGGGCCAGAATAGCTCAGTGTAGTGTAATCAGTGGTCCCAACTCCAGAGTACACATTATTGTAAAAAGCTGCTTTCAGAACCACAGAGTTTTTCAAGGCATTCCAGGAACAGAGAATATAGCCAACTTTTCAAAGTGATTAAATAAAATGAGCTTTCCACTGAGTCCTTTATAACAATATATCCAGTCTTTATGCTGGGTTATGAAAAAATAAACCCAGCATTACTGTTCATTTTTAAAGTTATGTAGCTAACACTCTGGCATTAACAAGTAATCAGCTACAAAAACCATTTTGTGAGCCAAACCAGTATTTGACAGAAGCTTAACATTTGACAGGGCCAAGTTGCTCCAGACTGAACACTGGAAAAAGTAGTATTTAGAATGCTTTCAAGAAAAAAAGTAACATTGTGCAGTTACAAACCAAGACATATATTGCAGGCTTTCCTTACCATGGTGGCCCTCATATATTCAACTCCAGTAAATCCCAGCTGGCATGGAAGTTGAAATTCAATATTATAGAAGGTATGAAACTGGGAGAGGCAGATGTGGCAACTGATGTATTATACATATTAAACCTCTTAGTTTGCATTACCATGTGAGGCATTTCACTTTGTAGCATTTATGAGCATGTCAATCATTTTGCATTCATAATTGTCAAACAGAAAAGATACATACCGGACAAGATAAGGAGCTCAATAATTTCTGCATCGCCCAAGAAAGCAGCAACATGAAGCGGGGTGCGCTTCTCCATGTCCTAAAACAAAAAGATGGTTAAAAAGGGCCATTGCAGATCTTGTGCCATTTGAACTAGGAGGCCAAGACCATAATTTAGTAGTGGTGTAGACCATTTTTTTGAAAGAGGGAGGGGCTGTCTTTAAGTCAGTGCTGACTCCTGGCAACTATTTGGTTTAGCCCCTGAAGTTTTCTTGGTAAGGTTTTTTAGAAGTGATTTCCTAAGACGTAGGCTGAGAGTGGCCTGAAGTTACCCATCCAAAGTTTAGCCTGGTGCCTCAATCAGTACACCAAACTGACTCTTTCTGTAGCCAATGGAATGGTATTTAAATTTACGAACTGGTGCTTGAAAGTTTAAAAGAGAATAATATCTATACATTGCGTGCCATCCATTTTTTATTTTGTTCCCATTCTTTTTTGCACATTAAAACTGTTAAAAAAAACAGACTCCTTATTCTTATTATTCAATTTTTCCAAAATGATGTAACAACACAGTCCTACAACGGGTAGAATTTAGTTTGTGGCCCTTTCCCTTTCTTGCAGGTAGCATCTATTTAGGTGACACAAGTGGTAGTATTCTACTGATTCGGCCCGGTTCTGTCCCAGTGAACCTGAGATGAAGCTCTAGGGTAGGAGTTTACACAGGTCCCACAGTTTTTTCCCCCCACTATGATCCTTTTGATTTTAGCTCTTTATTTCACTTGAACTATTTGTATCTAGGTCTGGTTTCAATTCTCAGGGGACAGAACTTAGGACTATTGTTTTATTATTATTTTGCAAAATGCCACAAAGCATTTTGTGCATGGAGGCCAAATTTGGAAACAACCCTGTGTTTAAATTATATCTATATCATGTTGCTGAGGATGGTAGCTTGATTAATCTCAGAGAAATTGGACTAAGTTGTAAATACTATTTTTTTAAAATAAGAAAGCACCTGCCTTATATTGTGCAAATAACAGGCATATGGTGAATTAGGCAACTAGCCCATAAAATGAGCTTGTTATGTACATTTGGATCCAAATGAAACTGGTGTCTCTATGTATGTGTAAAGCACAACTCAGGATGGTTCCAGAATACTGTAAAACCAAAGGCAAGAAAAACAAGAAAACTAGACGTCTGACTATCTCCAATCCATTATACAATACAATCCTACCCCTACAGGATCCTACCTCATCTTCTATTTAGCACCATTTTTTTGTTTTTTTGTGTGTGTGTTTGGAAAGCACTAGAAGAAAACAGTGTTAGAAGATACGAGTAAACAAGTAAATCCAAAATTTGTTGGTGGCTCCTGTCCTAACCCTAATACAGAACTGATTCCATCCTGCCATTATTAAAGTATCTCATATGGTTTAAAAAAATACATCTAACTTTCTGAAATTATCTAGAAACATGTTACCCTGCATCACTGCAGAACATCTATACCTTAATAAATCAGTAGTACCCTTAAATCTGCCACCTGGGACTTTCTTGAATTACAGAGCTCAAAGTAGAAACTACAAAGGTAGCAATTAGCTAGAAAGAGATATTCTGAAATTCATTAAACTTGTGGCACTTTTACTGTAGACCATATTTTAGGAACATGTAGACACTCTAGATGGAGCATTAATCTCAAATAAAATTAAAAACACATCAAACAAACAAAGATTTCCTCAAGTTGCACTTGTCTCTTGAAGATATCCACGTGCCGTTGTGTTTTCTTGCCAACAATATAGAAATGTTTTACTCATTTTTCCTTCTTGTTTTCACCCAATCTAGTTTACAAAGCTGGCACTTCCTGATAACCTTTTATTAATCTTTCTATTAATTAGACCTAATCCTACTTGGCTTTTTCACTATTAGTTAAAATAGGTCAGATATTCAAGAGTGAGTGGCAACTGAAGACCAATTTGCAATATGTAGAAATTTTCAAGTTCTATATCAAAAGGACAGAAAAAAAGAAATATCTGGGCTCATATATTGAAATCATCTCTCTTCCTTTATAAATATTTTGAAAGATTCTAGTTTACATCAATAATTGAATGAAAGAAAGTCAATTGCAGAGGAAGGACAGCTCACCTTATTAAAATAAGCATGGTATGTTTTAAGCACAGATCTTAAATAAAAAAGGGATGGCCTAAAACAATAGCTTCATTTACTTCATCCTTCAGTAAAAGTATTTTGCATTGTTGCATAAGTTTGTGTTAAAAAAAAAAGTGGACAGATACATGAGGAAGATAACTTTTGCTGACAAAATCGTAAGAACAATGAAGGACAACTGCATATGGGTGTTATTCAATCATTTAAACATATCTTCCTTTATCTAATTAAATCCAAATATGTTGGACTAGAATATTGATCAATATGGAATTATGGGAACTAGAATCCAACTAAAGTGGAGAGCTTTAAATTGTCGTTGTCAGTTATTAAGTCATGTCCAACCCTCGGCCACAACATGGATCAACCGTCTCCACATCCCTCTGTCTCACACTGCCTCCTTCAGATCCACCATGATCATCCCAGTGTCATCTTTAATAGTGTCCAGACAGCAGGTTCTATATTGTGAAAAGCTGTTCTTTACATGGATTTTCAATTATTCTGTAATAATGTGAAAATGACTAATTTTCCAACATTGCCAAGAAAACTGCATTTCTCAAAAGCAGGAAAAACAAAAACACTAACTTGCTGACTGCATTTCTGAAGTGGTAGTTCAAGCAGGATCAAAAAGTCTATTGCTAGTGTTTACCAATTAGGGAAGTACATCTACATACGTGCACAAGAGTCACAAAAATACTTTGACACTGCTGATAACAGAACACTATAGCCAAAATATCAGTAGAAGAGAATACAGCCAAAATAATTTTAGGGGCTGCACCATAGCTCCAAAACATGAAATCCACCTGCTCTAAATTCAGGACACAAAATGGCTCAATTTTAAAATTGGTCTGTCCATGTTAAAATATTGAAAAACATCCTATAAACCATTACTCTAACTGATAATTTATGGCAGCTTCATATTCTCTGCGGCTCAGGATAACCAAATAAATCCTCATAAGATACAATGGATTTTAGACTGTGCAAAGAATAAATGAGAAAAAATGACCTGTCAATATAAAAATACTTTAATATTAATTATAATCATGAAATATTGACTTTCAGTGAAATTTAGATATACAATAATGGGAACCAGCCAGGTCTCTAAACTAAGCACATATATTTGAGCTGTATAAATTCAGTATGAGGAATTCTAAGCCTCTTGTTCCCTGTGGATATTTAGTCTATGAAGCCACATGCATGAACACTGGGTTTACAACCAGGATCATACAGAGAGACATTTCTGAAGAAAAAAATAGAGCAATCAGCATATTTGAATCAGTAAAAACAAGCTAAACCACGTAAATTCATAATGAAACACTCTCTACATATACTCATACTATATTTCTACACAAATTCACATTAAGAAAGGAAACAAATGCTGTATCTATTCTTTTTATGACATTATCCAGCAAATATCACTATCATTGTAGGAAGCCCAAAATCACACCTTACTGGTTTTGAGAATCACAACCCAATACCAGTCCTTCATCAGTAAAAAGTACGTTTTTTTTCCACATAGATTGAAACGGGAAACAGCACTTACTATGCAGTAAGAAAGAGACAATTAGAAAGCCCTAAAGTAAATTACACAAAATGGTCAGGATCACTCAAATGGAAGTCTCCTACAGACACACACAAACATACAGAACGTGATGCTCTACTCACATTTTTTAATATTGACCTAATTTTGTGTTTAATATTAAATATTAGGTCCATGAGCTTTTGCAAGCCCTAAGCAAGACTTAGCTGCTAATATATTCTTTCCTCTGCTCCTATACATCTGGAAAGAGAAATGGATTCACCCCTCACAATGAGACTTAATGTGCTTTGTTTGGTTTTCAGATATTCTGAACAAGGTTGTTGATGTCTGAACAAGTTGCTGTGGTTTAGTCACAAATCCCTGCTTAAAATATTTTTATTTTATTTATTAAATTTATATGCCGCCCATCTCAAACAAAGCAACTTCGGGCAACATATAAATGATAGTTCGGCATATTGTGTAAAGACAGTTTTACATATCAATTCCATTTTCCCTAACTTCTGAATTGCATGTTGTGGCTCTTGTTCAGTCAGTCAGTTCAGAGTCTTCAAGACCTGACGGACTGACTTCCTTTCGCCAGGATTGCCTGTCAGTAACTGCTTGGTTTCTTGTAAGCTCTCACTTGTGTCGTCAGTGATAGTATCCAAGCTTCTTATCTTCTGTAAGGCTCTTCTGATTGCTTTCAATTTTCTACCAGTATGCATCTGCATCTTCTCTGATGACCCTTGTTTTCATGATATGTATTCAAGTTTTTAAAGTTTTAACTTCATTACTAGCACTTCCAGTGAGCGACTCAATTTCATTTCACCTAGTACTGAATTATTTGTTCATTGTGTGGTCCAAAGTATTCTGAAGAATTTTGTCCAGAAAGGCATGAATTTTTCTTCATTCAGCCTTTCTGACGGTCCAGTTGTTATAGTCACATGCTGCAATTAGACAAACTATGATAGTAATAATTCATGTGATGTCTTTATAATTTCACATTTTGTCTAGTTCTGTCATATTTTTTTGCTCAAGTAGCAGATGCCTTTGCATTTCATAGCTTTAGTCACCAACCCTGTGAAATTTTGAGCCCACTTTTTCATTGCTTCCAGCTTTGTTTTTTCTTGTTTCCATTGGATTGGCATTGCCTTAAGGACTTTTTAAATATGAGATAATAGACCAACTTTTGTAGTCTTCTTTTACCTGTATTAATTTATAATTATTATAATTTAATCTTCCTCATTTCTTGCTATCAAAGTGGTATCATTAAAATATCCAAGACTATTAATGTTTCTCCCAGCAATTTTAATTTAAATTCTCTTTCTTCCCAGCCCAGATTTTTAAACATATATTCTACAAATAAGTTAAATAAATATGATAACTACACAACCTTGACTCACTTTTTTCCTTATTGTGAACTATTTTGTGCTTTAAAATAAAGTTAGGTTGTAAAATAAATCAGAATAACTGGTTTGCTAAGTAGCTAGTGGAGTTTTTCTAAGCTTCTACTCCTAATTCTTACTAATAAGAATGATAAGAAATTCAATAATTGTAAATATGCTATTGCTATACCTGACCTAACAAAAGAGAGATCATAGGAAACACACAAGACCTAAATATTCTCATGCTAGGAAAGCTTTAGCTTATCTACAAATATCCTATTATTTAAAGTTTGAAAAGTATATTTAGTATATTTTCATACAAAGAATAAAAGATACTTTAAATATGACAGTTTTATCTATTCGTCCATCCATGTTTTTAAATTGTTTTATTTTATGCTACATAGCAAAATTCTATTGCGTTTGTTTTCTTTTCATTATCTTCAGAAGGCCTATGTAATAAAGAGTTCTATTGCCATTAAAAATTCATTGCCAAGTGAAGCCCTGAATCTTTCTCTTCACCCTACTTTACAAATATCTAAAGTGAGAGAAAACATGCATGAGCTCATCAGGGCTCATTTGCTTTATTCCAGATCAGGATAACAACCTAGATGTTTAAATGCAAACTAATCTAAATGGCAAGCAATTACCTTTCTTATTTGCTCTTTCTTGAATAAAGAAACTTAAAAGAGAACCACCAAACTACATCTTTTCAAGAAAGGCAATTCTATCACTTTCAGTTGGAAGGTTATGTAGCCTCATTATGAGGGAGGGCAGATAAGCACATGCCAAGAATATACAATTCCAGCGGGGTCATCCAAGATGTGACAGTCATCCAAACCACCCATCTAAAGCAAGAAGGTGTTTATATTGGTCCACAACTAAATGGAAAGATGCTGGAGGCAGAAGATCATTTTAATGACAAAGACTAAGGCATCATTTCATATTGTAGGAGAGAAGACAATGGTAAACTGTTCCTATTTTACCAATATTTTACAAGAAGACCATGTGAATGGAAAATATAAAAATGATTATTGATATAGTGCCTGATGATGGCCCCTTCAGGATGGATGGTACTCAGCATGCTTCTGAGGAAGAGCTGAGGATCTCTCAGAATACTATTGGTGATTATGACATAGCTATATTAAAGCCTTCGGGTTAGTTATTGATGTTGCCATACAGAACATCTTTATATGTACATGGACATTATCAGATAGAGTACCTAGAGATATCAAATTGATTCTATTAATGGCACAAGGAAGTAAAAAATACTCACTTAAAAGGGGAAACACATGGCCAGGGGCTGACTGTGGAATGGATCAAAAATTGCTCAGGTGAAAATTCCAAGTTAAACTAAGGCAGCAGAAGAAAGCCAACCACATTCCATGATATAATTTTGAGAATGCCCCCCCCCCCCCCCATTACTTTCAAGGATAACATCAGTAATCACTTTGAAATCCCAAACCTCCTAACAGGGAGCCAAAGAAATAGTGAAATAGACTTAAAGTTGTTAAGGATGAAAGGATGAGATTACTAAAAGGAGGAGGAAAATGTGGTAATGGGTGTGCTGTTTGAAGACTTGAAGGACTAGGGTTGAGGACAGATCCTCCTGGATCTGACTTGATGGCAATTAATCCATATAGTTTAAATAAATACTGTTAATAGAAGTTGTGTTTATCTTGCATACAGTCAAAGTGACCCACAAATGTCTTTAAAGATCTGATACTTTTAATGTGTCACAAAGCCTTTGTATTATTTTTTAAATCCTACCCTGCCCACCCTCTGGAATGTTTTCTTACAACAGAATCTCCCATAAAAATGCAGTTTTACATATCTTCATAGTCTCATAAAGAAATGCCTTGAAAATTTTGAAATCTTAGTAACAAACACACCATCTTGCCTCTGGCAGTAGCTACTATCTTTGAAATGTCAGCATTTACTGTCTAACACTGGTGACTATCCACCTCACCACAATACTGTTATTACAAAAACAACATATAAAGCAGCAGCAAAACAAAAAACAAAAAAGCACTTCCATGAAGAATGTAAGAGAACCCAGGGGGACATCTTGATTTTGTTTGTTCTGCCCAATTGAACTTCCATATCTGTAGGGAAAAAGCTCAGTGTCTTCACTTCACAAGCCTTTCAGGTTGACTTGTCATTAAATACTGATTGTGAAATTAACTAACAGAGGAATCCCTAGTAAATTGTTGCTTATAATCCACTTCATTGTATCACCTGCATCTCTATGCCCTAAAACAATGCAAAGGAAAAAAAGGACCCATTCTATGTATTGTTGCATTGGTACCACAAATTCTGCATAAATAGAAACTGAAGATCCTATGTGGCCTTGCAAGCTAAATCTGACAAGAAGAAGAATTAGAAACCTTCACGGAAAAGTCTGTCTTGTCTTGTCTGTCTGTCTGTTCATCCGTCCATCTATCCATCCATCTATCCGCCCATCTTACCACAGGAACAAAAAGATATATTATGCCACAGCAAGTAATTAAAGCATCAGATTGAATACCCAGAAAGTTATCAGGCAGAAATATTTCTGATATATAACATATTTTAATTCGAACACTTATGGTCCAATGGGACATTTCTATTTCCATCATACTCATATGAGGACAGACTTGTGTGATCATAATTCTGAAGTCTTAGGCACAACTTAGAGATAGGAGCAGAAATGGTTTATTCTATTTCCAAGCACATGGCACACCTGTATATGAGCCTAGTGTGTACTAAATTAACAAAAAAGGGGGATTATTTGTTGTAATTTACCAAATTACAGTTGTACTTTTAAAGGTAAGAGGCAGAGAACATTATTTTGTAAAATTATTGGCTTTGCTATGAATCTTGTTTCACCTCCACCAGACATTTTCCTCCTATCAATGAAATACCAAAAGAATTAGAAAAGAAAGGTACAAAGTTTCTTACCAAAGCATTAACATCTTCAGTTTTGTAGATTAATATACGTATCTCATCAGGATCACCGTTGAAAATTGCTTGGACCAGCGGTGGCTAAAGAGATAAAAACAGGAGGGGGGGAATGGTGGAAAGAGAGAGGTAAATGTTATTCGTCTCTACAATCAACACAGATTCAAACCATTGCATACATAGGAACAACTCAGCTGTCTTGCACATCCTCCTTTCATAGAAAAAAAGGCTCTTTAATGCAGCTGATGGTAGCGTCCTAGAAATTTAGACACATTCAACCTCTTCATTAAAAAAATCTAATACAGGTAGTCCCCGAGTTACGACGACAATCAAGCGCAAAATTTATGTTGCTGAGTGAAACATTTGTTCAGTGAGTTTGCCCCATTTTAGGACTTTTCTTGCCTCAGTTGTTAAGTGAATCATTGCATTTGGTTGTTACTTGGCAACTGGTTCATATTTATGAAGGTTGCAGTATCCTGACAAGTAAAATCAATGGGGAATCAAATTAGTAACTAACTGGATTCCCCATTGATTTTGACTGTCAGAAGATCGCAAAAGCTTCTAGATTCTATTTTTTCCAGATTCTGGGTTGGGACTACAGTTTTAGTTTTAAACGATACTATGGTTTTATCTTGGGGACTGTAGTTTTAAAATAAATATTTTATTAACAATATTATATATCCATATTTAGGATATAATCTGAAGTGATGTTATTTGACATGTTTTCTTGAAAAGACTTGGCTCTTTTTATGTTTTCTGACCAAAATAAAGATTAAATATACTTGTACAAAAATAAATAGAGGTTCCTTTTAGGCTTCCTGCACTACTTTTAGGGAGAGCCTTGTTTCCAAAATGGCTAATATCCATTTTTATTTTTATAATTAAACTGTTGCCCTCAGGATCACTGTTTCCAGGTGAAAGAGAGGCCACTTCCTGTAATGCTCTGGAATTTGGCCATTTTCCTAACCTAGAAAATTACAACAAAATAACTTACATTTTCAAATGCATCAGATAGGACTTTGACAACAAGCACTTAAAAATGTGTGTTATTCCTGGAAAGGAGAAATATCAAAAGCATATTCTGTTCTGAACCATTTATTTTGGAATGACATTCCCTGCCAAAAATCTCTTAGTTTGTGGCACTTCAAATTTAAATTAGATAATTATTCATTCAAAGAATATTTTACTCTTAAAATATACAGTACAAATAAAGGTGAAAAAGCCAGAGCACTAAAATAAAAAGCTCCAGTAAAATCCAAAGACAAGAAAACGGAAAACAGAGGTTTCAAATCAAGTCTTTCTGCCTCCTTTCCAAAGTTTCATGGAGTGTTCAAACAATAAAATAATTTTTACACAGTTTCTTCAACTTCTTTTAATCACACATGCAAAACCATTAAAGGAGAAAACAGTAGGATAACTGAAGAATGTCTTTTAATTAATAGTGTCCCTAAGATCAGGAATGTCCAAGATGAATTGAGAAGAAATTATAAGAATCAGAAGAAATAATAACTGTCCATTTAGCTAAACACAGATTAATATTTTGCATAGAGTCATCCTGAAAATTAATTTCTTTTTCTTTACAAAGCAGAGACCCTTTCCCCACAACATATACATGTCATGGTATCATCTTTTTTCCTGAAATATCCTTATGCTGTTGCTGTCATTTGTCCATTACTCATGAGTTGGACAGACTTAAGACATCACAAATGTTGCACAAGGACTGATTCATTAGGTACACGGTGGCGACACAGAAACTGATATTCAAATTACTTTTAATAATTCTGTTGTAATCTATCATTGGTGGGCCTTCTGCTGTTGTACTCCCAGAAGCACCACCCATCTGGTGAAGGATAAGTGATGTTGGATCCTACAGTATTAGAAAGGCTTTTGCTGAAGATAGTCCTTATTTCAAAGGAAAACTTTAATTTCCAGGAAAGACATATTTATTCCCAATCCATGCCTCTGGTTAAACTTCCAGGTCTTCTATTTCTATTGAAGGAAAAATGGAAGAAACATAGGATTATTCTCTCACTTCTATGTGTATGAAGGTGGGTTTTTTTATAATCAACTGTGAATAAACAGTATAGAGAGGCTACAAAGACAGACAATTCAACCAACCACCTTGCTTATCATGTGAGGTACGCCCATTTTCAAAACATCACCTTCTGGCAATGAAACAGATCAGGGAAGATAAAGGTAGGGTAGAGATTGGCAGTGGGGCCAATAAATTCCACACTAGGATAGAATAGATACAAATACTGTAGATTACAATGAACATGTAATTGCTAAAATGTATGAAATTTTACTGAAATTTGAAACAAAAGTAAAAGAATGTATGATACATTGAGCTAAAAACTGGTTATAGTATACAGATAGGAAAATATTGTCAAGAATGTATAAAGGTACTTCACATTTACATTGGAAAGGTGAACACGAGAAGGGACATTTTATCATGTTTAGTGGATATGTAAAAAAGCTAGAAAATTCTGGACTAAAATATGTATGCTGATTCAGAGGATTTTAAAGATTAATATGAAATTGAGGCTAGAGGTTTTTCTTATATGATTGATGGATAAATACTTGGAAAAAAAGTTATAGAATTTTGATTTTTTTTACATAACTGAAGTGAGATTATTAAGGTACATGCACAAAGATGGAAAGACTCAGTACTACTTACAATGAAGATTATGAATTTTGCTGAAATAGCTAAACTGACTTCTTTGATCATAGACAATAGTTATGTTTATTGCTGACAGGAACCCCCCTATAGACTTTTTGTGTGAAATAGAAAAATTAAATTTATGGTTTATGGTTTTGATGATTAGACAGGATAAATTATACAAATAAGAAAATTATACTGTAACCATAAGTTGGAAGTAAATTTATAATTATACTTATAACTGATATAAAAAAGATCAGAAGCTACTTCTTTATGTCTTTTTTCTTTCCTTTCTATTTTATTTTTTACTTTTTTCCTTTCCTTTCTTGCACTTTTAGATTCTTCTTCGATTACTTGCATTTTTCTTACTTTATATTAGTTTGTGTTATTTGTATTAATGTTTATCTTCTTTTTAAAAATAGCTTTAATAAAAATTAAATTAAAAAAACAAATTCCAGAGTTTTCTACCAACTTAAAGATGGTTCGATAACTCTTACACTCAGTTTGGATTCTCTGGTCATGAGAAACACATTTTGTTAATAAATATTTGCAAACCACCACAGATTTTATTTCAGACTATTTAATTTATTAAGGCAGGAAATTATTCAAAGTTACTCTATTCAGTGTCCAATATCTTTTTTGAAATGTAATGGCTGTAACTGGTAGACAATGAAGCATTGATTCACTTCAACATATCTTGTGTTACCTCCTCCTCCAATATTGAACTAGAAGCCTAGGAATAGGGAGATTAAAATTATTTAGGAAGTGACTGAACAAGGCTAAACAAGGAGCCTAAAGCAGAGTGACTGGAATTAATAACAGAAACAATGAGGAAATTTGGGGTGAGACTGAGCTGAGAGAATTTTGGAAGGTGTATTTTAAAGCTCTGTATGGAAATTCTAATAATAGATCAAAGGGTAAAACTGAAAGAAATGCAATAAATGTTGGAATTCAAAATAAATTGAAGTCATAAATGCTGTGAGAAAGTTGAAAAGTAGTAAGACTACAGGCATACATGGTACAACTGGAGAAATGTTAAATATATATAAATAGTCTACCAATGGAAAGGTTGGGTAACTTATTCAATATGTTTGCAAAGATTGTATGTGTTCCTCATGATTGAAAGGCCATTATTGTTCCCTTATAAAAATGGAAAGTTAGCAGGGTGAATGTAAAATTATAGGTCATGTGTTAAGTTTACCTAGAAAGGTTCTTGGCAGAATTCTGATATAAGGAATAGGAGAGATGCCAATTAGAGTTGTCCATGAATTGGGAAGCATGCTTTGCTTCACGTAAAACCAGATACACTGTGTCTCAAAAGTGCTACTGAAGCATTCTAGGTGGTCTTTGGTTTGGCAGAACTGGAACATGGAACAATTTTTTGTTCCAAGTTCTGTCCAACTCACTTAGAAAACTGAATGGGCCAGCTGAATATGTTGCTTCTGAAACCAAAGATATTGGTGGCAAGAACCCACCCATCCACCTCTAATCTCAACACCTTCCTTTCCCTACTTCCATTTATATGTCACCATTGCTGGTGTTCTCAAGCTTCAAAGCAGGTTGCCTTTCCATGTACTTTCCAATTTTCTATCTACTTTTCTGTCCCTATCTCTCCTTAGAAAATGGCAACAAGCCATTGGATATACCATGTTTAAAGCTACGGACATTAGCAGCAGAGTGGCTTGTTTAACTTTCACCACTACCCATACTCCTTTAATTTCCCTACTCAAATCTTCACATTGTTTCCACTATCACCAGTATCTTCGGCTTCAGGTGAAGTATATTCAACTGCACTCTAATCTTCCTTGCTGTTGGCTGTGTTTTTCTTCAAGCCAAGGACATCAATGCCAGCAAAGTGGATGAATGTAATCAGGAAATGTATGTTAATCTAACCCCTTAAAAATCTAGAATAGCTGCCAAGTGCTAAAGTGTTTTCAGACAAATAGGGCAACTTCTCAGCTACAGACATCTCCCCTAAAGAATTTCAGCACCCACTGATTTCACTGCCTCTTTAGTTCCTTTAATTCCCCCTGCTACTGCCTTTTCAAATTTGGTTTGCTACATTGAGTAGCAATCAGGAAACTTTTTTTTTTAAAGAGCCTCAGGCTGAGGTATTCTACCGAAGCTCCCTCAGAACATAAGCTCCGGAAATCTAAAGTTTCACTGGCTTTTCTGCTTCATTTGGTGATAACAGGAAATTAATGCAATGAAGTTTTTTCTCAAAGCCACAAGTTGAATATTTTTTGCTTTATACTAGAATCATGTGTGAAGCTTTTTCTGAGGCAATATAAAAACACTGCCCATGTTTTAAAGGCATGAGAGAAGGAAGGGGGAAGGGAGGAAGAAGGAAGGAAGGAACCAAAAAACAAACTTGACATTGCTACCATCTCCAAATGATAGCAATTTCAGAGAGTGTTAAATTTTT